AACTATGGCAGCTGACGCTTATGTACTGCTTCCTGCGGGCCAGCCACCGTTCTAAGCACTTAACTGCTCCTCACAACAGCCTTGCAAGGAAAGGACTGTTATGGTCCCCACTTCACAGTGAAGACGCGGAAGTGTGGAGAGCTTTCTAGTAAGTCACTTGCCCACAGCCCCTCAGCTGGTATCAAGTGGGGCAGGGACGCAGGCCCAGGCAGCCTGGCTCTGAGTCAGCTCCGGAGCCGTGCCCGTGCTGCCTCGAAGGTTGGAAGCCGGCAGGCTGACTGGGTTAGTCAGTGCTGCTCAGGTCGTAACTGGCCTTGTCTCAGGAAGCCCTGGATACAGCCCCTTCCGTAGTTTCCAAGCACAAAACAGGACCTTTTATTCACCAGAGAAGGAGGCAGTGTGGTGAAGAGGAAAGAGCTGGGAAGGGTAAAGGAGATAATATGTGCCAAGTGTCTAGCAAAGAGATTCCGGAAGACGGAAGATACAGCACATAGTGTTTGAAGCTCTCTGGATCCCAACCAAAACCACACAATAGCCAGATAAGAAAGTGTTTAAATCCAGAGGAAACATTTACAACTACATAAGGTGAGAAGGTGTCCCCATGAGTCCCCAAATACAGTCCATGCCCAGCTGGCATCCATGCAGGAGAAAGTGGGAGATGCCAAAGTAGTCCACAAGTATTCCCTGCAAAGTCCAGTAGACCAATTTAACATGAAAGCAAAAAGCAATTTCAGAGACAAATACTCAATAGAAAGGGAAGCTAAAAATAAAAGTTTTATAAATAAAAAAACCATAACAAAAGGGATGAAAACGCTTAAAGAGAAAGTGACAGATATTGAAGGCAGGCAAAGATCTAACATACCAATAATAGAAATCTCTAAGGAACTCACCCCAAATAGGGGGGAAAGTAAATACTAACAAATAATAACTCAAAAAACTTTACGGAAACATTTTTTTAAAATTGAAATTCCATATTGAAAAAATACAACATACCCAAACATACCTACTCAGAGCAACCAACATCAAGACATAGGCCAGGTCTTTGAAGCTGCCCCTGAAGTGGCAGGAGGTAGCCACGAACCCTGCTGCCCAGAGACCAGGCAGCCCAGCAGGCTGGGCTGGATATTGAACCTGAGAGAGAAAGGGGTTCGTCGTGCGGATGGCCTAATGCGACTCCTGTATGAAAAGTTACCAAGTGCTGAAGGGCTCATGCTCTTCTGTCCGATGAGGCGGAGCGCCTGTTATTAAGGCGACCAATGATATTGCTCCAGAGCCTCCCTTGAGATCTGGTTTCTTATCTGCTCTTGCCCTTGCAACAGGCCAAAGGAGCAAACTCGGACTTTCAAAAAATGAAAGTCTCCCCTGCTATTCTAACACCAACCAGGTGGGTCAATGTAATCCTTTGCCTTTGGTGGTGAGTTTCATAGCCAGCGGCAGTGCCAATGCAGGACTGACTGTCCGCCTAGAAGAGGAGCTGGCGCCACTAGTTGAAGAATTGAGACGAGTTGGAGAAGTTTCTTAATCTGACAGTGGTTTGGTGTCTACCTCATCTTCATTATAACAGACATGATAGCAATCTTTAGACCACAATAATCGTGTGTCCTTATACTCAAAGGGCCCCTTTTCTAACTGACCCTAAAGAAAGAGTCTTTAGGTACAGCTTATGGACAGATTGATTGTTATCTATATCTATATCTATATCTATATCTATATCTATATCTATATCTATATCTATATATATGATTTTATTTTTATTGATTTCAGAGAGGAAGGGAGACGGAGGGAGAGAGAGATAGAAACATCAATGTTGAGAGAATCATTGACCGGCTGCCTCCTGCACGCCCCCTACTGGGGATCGAGCCCGCAGCCCCGGCACGTGCCCTTGACTGGAATCGTACACAGGACCCTTCAGTCCACAGGCCAATGCTCTATCCACTGAGCCAAACCAGCCAGGGCTATCTTTTCTTGTGTGGGTTTTATTTACTGAGATCTGGGGTGCCACAGAAATGGTTCCGTTTGTCACAGTTCCTGTGGAGTTAGTGCAGCCACCAGGTCTGCAAACTAAATGGTACGTGGCCCCACTTGAGCCACAAAGGGCTCCTCTTGCACAGCACAGCCGGGCCTGCAGAACGAAGCCGGTCCTTTTGATTGTGAATAATAATGAGGACATATTTTTCATGTTGTTTTCTTTCTTTGCATTGAGTGTGGGGGAGATAAAATAGCTTAGTAAAAGTAATAAAGTCAGGACCACCACTAAAAATAACATAGTCTAATAAAATTATTGGACTTTAAAGAAAAGAGAAAGCAAACTACGGGCATCGAGGCAAAACCAGCAAGTAACTTTTAAGGGAAAAATTATATTATCATCAGACTTTTTCACAGCACGACTTTTGCCAGGAAAATATGAATAATTAGAAGGCTCAAGAAAATAGAAGACTAGGACCTTATATCCAACAAAACCGTTTTGTGTACAGAGAGTACAAACTATTATCAACATGTAAGCGTTAAAAACAGCTACTCATAGAACTACAACTAGACGAGTGTTACAAGAAAAAGTACAGTAGAATTGCTATGTGCTCAGACAATGTAGATATAGCACGTCTATTTAAAATTAGAAGGTAGAACGGAGAGAACATAGTCCCCAAATATGCTTTTTAGGTAATTAATGGTGGCAATTTTACTATTGTTATTCTGAGACTACTGTGTGGGATAAACTAAATAAATAATTTTAGGACATTCTGTCATCGCCTGTGTTCTTAAGGACCAGGATTCTGATACGGAAGAGAGGAGATTCCTTTGTAAAAGAGTCGAGATTAAGGAAAATAACCGTGTGGGCCTTGTTTTTGACTCAGACGTGGTCAGTATGAACTCATGATGTATTTTATCTTCTAACATGTCCACTGCAGCCCTGGCTGGTGTGGCTCAGTTGGTTGTGCATCTTCCCGTGCACCAAAAGTTGACCAGTTCCATTCCCGGTCAGGGCACATGCCCGGCTGTAGGCTCAGTCCCTAGCAGGGGGCATGCAGGAGGCAGCTGATCAATGTTTCGCTCTCTCTCTCTCTCCCTTCTTCTCTCTAAAAATCAATAACAAATCTTTTTTTTTAATGCCCACTGCAGAGGCCTGGAAACTGACCACTCAGTGGCACTGAGTAACCCCGGTACCTGGATTGTGATTTTGAAATACCATTTCCACTAAAAAAATAGAAACAGAATTAAAAACCAAACCCGAGACTTCTTGGAGAAATCGCTGGGGCAATAAAGCCACAAGCTGAGCTGGACCACCTTGTCAGAGCAGGGTCTCCAGTTCCCCTGGGACCAATCTGATTTCCCTCTGGCAGAAGGAGAGAGCACTTGAGCTCCAACAAAAGATAATAATTGCAGTGGGTTGGAATTCATCAGATGGTTGAAGTCCTTGATTTCACACTGAGATTTAAATCACCCGTGGTTAACACCTGGGTGATGATAGCGAGCTGGCTCATGACCCTGGAAACTGGTAAACAGTGGGGAAGAATCAGGCCCAGATCTTGCTCTGCGAACCACACTCCCTGGAAACCAGCTCGCATGTGAGGGAAGTGTTTATTGCAGAAGTTTTCCAGCCAATACATGCAAAAGAAACAACAGACTCAGCACATCAGCGTTTTCCAATCCCCGGTGAATCAGTGGGTCTGGGCCCTGAGCACACACAGCTGCTGACGTCACAGAAAGGAAGACGACCAGACAACACGTGCCCCCTGACGGGAGACATGCCACCCACTACCATCTGGCCCAAGGGGCTGGGCCTGCCTCTGACCCGGGCCTGGGTCAGCGACCAGCGACCAGCGTGCCGGCAATGCAGGGGCCCCAGGAACATACTGAGCCCGCGAGGCCGCAGTCGGCAAGGCCAGATGTCGGAGGCTCTACGGCTCAGACACTTCTGTTCCTTAGCAGATCAATTGTGGGAAATGAGGATGGAGAGGAAGCCTGTAGATTAAAAAGGACTTAAAAGACATGAAAACTGTGCCCTGGCTGGTGTGGCTCAGTTGGTTAGGCATCATCCTGTGCACCAAAAGGCTGCCAGTTCAATTCCCAGTCAGGGCACACGCCTGGGTTGCAGGCTTGGACCCCAGTAGGGGGCGTGCAGGAGGCAGCTGATCAATGTTTTGCTCTCATGTTGATGTTTCTTTCTCCCCTCCTTTCTCTCTAAAAAATCAATAAAAAGACAAAAAGACATAAAAAAGTTTTGCCAGACAAGTCCAAACGACTGTGTCTCAAGATGCACACTTGTGTGATAGGAACTCTGATGAAACCCAGGGAGGCGACCGCCAGGGAGTCAGGGCGGGCTTGCTGTGGGCGCAGGAGGGGTGGCCTGGGGCACGTGAAGGCCTCAGGTGGCTGGTGAGGCGTTCTCTCTCTGGCCTGAGTGGTGACTAAGGCGTTTGCCTTATAATACCCATTAAAGTATAGCTTTGTGTATCATTTACGTTAGTGTTTTATTTTACACTAAAAAGATTTTAAAAATGTGTCTAGCACGCGGCCTGGAGCATAGACCTGTAACATACTGCCTCTCCCCCTCCTCCCCTCCCGTGAACTGTAGACTGACTGTGTGCTGAGCACCGAGCTGGTTTATATCCGCTCCCCGGTTTGTGACCCCGTGACCCGCCCGACTGAGGGCTCCATGGAGGCAGGGCTCCCCTGGTGCCCCGCGGCCTGGCCCCCGGCAGGCCCTCAGAACAGACTTGCTGCGCGAGTGAATGAATGTGTGTCCGCTGTTGTAGGAACGGGCTCAGTTCACGAGAGCAAAGCCTGGCTGGCTACCCACACACACGGGCGCGGCCCTGCCCTTCGGGGCCTGTCCAGGGTGTAGGAGGGGCCCGAGGCATCCTCAGGGAGCAGCGGGCTGTGGAGGCTCTGATGGCGCCGGCTGTGGGCCGCAGCCCCACCTGGCCACCTGCCGCCTCCCAGGCCCCGTCTCCGTGAGGACGGGGTCCAACCTTCCCACGCCTCCCGTGCTCTGTCCTCAGGCTCCACCAGGAGAAGACAGACACCGTCCGCTGCATCAAGTCCTGCCGCCCCAGCGACATCAGCTGCATGCTGGACCTGGTGCACACCGTCTCCTACACCGTCGTCTCGCTGCCCACCTTCCGCGAGTTCGCCCACCCAGAAGGTAAGCGGTGACCCCATGGCCTGGAATTGGCTTGGGGGTCCCCAGGGGAGGCCATTGTCTAGGCAAGCTCCCTGCAAGGCAGCCACTCCGGGGTAGGATGTGGGTTTGGAGTTTGAAATGTAGCCCTCTCCCCGACCCCCACATCTCCTGTGTGTCCCCAGACTGCATAGCACTGGACGGCCCGACCCCAGCCCTCTCCCGCTCCCAGGTCAGGGCCTCTTAGAGGTCAGTCACTCAGCAAATAGCGATGAAGTGTTGACTCAGTGCCAAGTGCTGGGGAATCTGGGAGGGCCTCCAGGAGGAGGTGACTTTCACTCTCGGGCCTGAGTGGTCACTAGGAGGGAATCTGGTGAAAGTGGAGAGGAGGGTGCCGAGCAGAGCAGAACCTGAAAAGGCCTGCGGGTGAATGGGGAGTGTGGGCACCTGAGGAACTAAGCCTGGTTTCCTGGCTGGAGCAGGAGGCTTGGTAAGGCATGAGCTGAAGCAGGGGAGCCTGCTAGGGACCCACCCTGGATGGGGGGATAGATGGGCTGGAGCAGCTAGATGGGTCCAGGGAGCCAGTGCTCCTGTGCCCACCCCTGCCCGCAGGGAGCTCCTGGCCTGCCCACCTGTTCACTGGGGCGGAGCCAGGGGCCTTGCCCCCAGTGCCCAGCAGACTGCGAATGCGGCCCTGCTCTGTACACTGGCTCTGGGGGTGTCACCCCCATGCCGGCGCTGGTGTGGTCTCAGCCACCCCTTCCGCTGCCGTCTCCATCCTCGGCCTCCGAGGAGCTGTCACTCAGCAAGCAGAGGCCGAGCCTCTGTGCTGGGCTCAGGGCCAGTCCCTGGGCCTGGGATGAGGACGAGCTCTCTGACCGCCCCCCCCCCCCCGCCCCCATGACCACACCCTGCGTTTCCACATGTGAGGCCCGCAGGCGACCAGGGTGCGTCGGCCTGGTGTGGGGGTGGCGAGGGCAGGACCAGCTTCTGAGGAGGCGCGGACTTGGTCGGAGCAGAATGCCGGGTCCCACCCGACGGCAGGCAAATCCCCCCAAAGCGCAGCCGCTCTGCGGCCTCATGGGGCGCGTCTAAGTCGGTTCCACAGGGAGTTGGCTGTGGCAGAGACCCTGTTGGCCTCTCGGGCCCGGAAGTCCAGACCCGGGCCTTGGGTGCTGGAAGGCCCCGTAGAGGGCACCGCTGGCAGGAGGACACTGAGCCCACAGAGGACGCCCGGAGCTGGCCCAGAGCCGGTAGCGGCGGCCTCTGCTCCAGCCCAGGGCAGCGGCCCCGCCTCTGCCAGGTGGTCTGGGAGATGGACAAGGCCACCCAGCTGCCCAGCCCTCACCGTGGGCAGGAGACAGGCTGCCCCTCGCCTCCCTGACCCTCCCCCGTCCCCTCGGGCACCTGCCTTCCGTCCCCCTGCTCAGGAGATGCGTGAGTGACCAGTTACTGCTCGGTGCTGGCCCTGACCTGGGGAAAGAGCCGGAACCTCTCCAGGCCTCGGTTCCCCGTGGGTAGGAAGCGGGGCTGGCGCTGTGACCCCTCGGCACCCCCGCCTTCTCCGTGCAGGGGGCTCGCTGCCCGCCGGCACAGGGGCCGATACGATGGCGCCGGCTCTGAGAAAAGCGAGAGCTTTCATGTGCGAGTCCGCGGGCCCGGAGGCAGGAGGCGGGCTCAGGGGGGCCTCGGGGTCCGGCTCCGGGGGGGCCTCGGGGTCCGGGGCTCCCTGCTCAGGGTCCTGCCTTCCTGGTGAGTGGGCTCGCGTGTGACTCGTGGTGGGTTCTCGTGTTCCTGGTGAGTGGGCTCGCGTGTGACTCGTGGTGGGTTCTCGTGTTCCTGGTGAGTGGGCTCGCGTGTGACTCGTGGTGCGCTTGCGTGTTCCTGGTGAGTGGGCTCGCGTGTGACTCGTGGTGGGTTCTCGTGTTCCTGGTGAGTGGGCTCGCGTGTGACTCGTGGTGGGTTCTCGTGTTCCTGGTGAGTGGGCTCGCGTGTGACTCGTGGTGGGTTCTCGTGTTCCTGGTGAGTGGGCTCGTGTGTGACTCGTGGTGGGTCCATGTGTTTCTGGTGAGTGGGCTCGCGTGTGACTTGTGGTGGGCTTGCATGTTCCTGGTGAGTGGGCTTGGTGTGACCATGAGTGGCCACGCCTTGGTCGGTTGGTATGAAGCAGGCGGGACAGCTGAGCCAGCCCCACTCGCAGTGGCGGGGGGTGGGCTCTCAGAACCGAGGGCGGATTGGAGGAGCCGCGGGCCCGGCTGCCCCCCCACACTGTGCTCCCTCCACAGAGATCATCTTCCTCCGTGCCGTCATGCCCGCGCACCCCGCCAACCACGCCGACATCATCTTCGACATCACGGAGGGGAACCTGCGGGACTCCTTCGACATCGTCAAGCGCTACATGGACGGAATGACCGTGGGTGAGTGGCCGAGACGTCCGGTCCTCCCGGCCTGTGTGCCACCCGGCGGGAAGCTTCTGGACCAGCCCAGCTGCCCGCTGAGGCCTCTTCCTAAGCCCCAGCTGGTCCCGCACCCACAGGGCGCCCAGGTGGCAGGGCTCGCCTGGGGCCCGCCTCACTGGGCGTCTCACAGCCGCGAATGTCAGGCAGATCACGGGTGAAGTGCTCATCCCAGGCTCGGCACAGCCCCCCACTCACTGTGAGCCAACATGATTTTATTCTCGGGGTACAGTGCAGGGAGTGTCACTTGGGGAGTCAGGCCTGCGCTGTGGTCTCGCCCGGAGCTGGCTGGCCTTGCCGATGTCTGTGTGTCAGTCGGAGTGTGCGTCACGGAGCCCCCATATGCGCAGCCCTCTGACGGGGGGCGGGGGGGCAGGCTGCTGGAGCCCCCTGGAGAGTCAGGACCATGGGCGCATGAAGGAGGCAGGGGAGTGGGACTGCTGGGGAGGGGACGGCAGGGCAGGGCGGCTGCAGCTGCAGGAGGTGGCAGCTGAGCAGAGTCTTGGGTGCAGAGGGAAGCTGTGTGAGTCCCTGTGTGAGCCTGGGGACCTGCTCACAGCACCTCCCAAACTGTCCCGTTTTACAGAATTTAAGCTCCGGGCACGATAACGATCGTAGCTGCCATTTGGGCTTAGAATAGACTCTGAACATTGTCAAAGCAGCTGAGCAGACAAAGGCTAGGCCCTGTCCTCCCCTGGGCCTCAGTTTCCCCATTGTGGATGGGGAGGGCCGTGGGCTTCGTGGTCTCCAGGCCCTGGATTCTCTGGGCTGGACCAGAACCTGCCTGCCTGTGGCGGCCCGGCAGCGCGCTTTGGGACACGGCCGCCAGGTGGCGCTGTTGGACCTCAGACCCGGCTCCCTGAGCCCGGCCCACCGTGGTTACACTGGCAGTTACGCCCGTTGCCAAAGGGCCATTTATAGCAACTTTACAAGCTCTTAAATGGGTTCTCGACTTGTAAACACGACTGAGTCATGGGGGGCTCCCCGCCCCCGCCTCCTCTCCCGCCGGTTGGCAGCAGGCGTAATTAGTTAATTACAATTAATGCCCCATTAGCCCGCCGAGAGCCGGGGGAGGGGTACAGTGCCCTGTCAGCAGCCATCACCGTGCTGCCCCCTGACTCAGTGTCCCCCATTGTTAAGGAAGAGACCCTGGAGGAGCCTTTAGGCACGTGGGGTGAGGACCGGCAGGAGGAAACAGGGTCGGGGTCTGTGCCGCCTGCGCCTGCGTGTGTGCTGGGAGGGAGGGTGGGGGGCACCCTGAGGGCACACACAGAAGCCACCTCGCGCCAGCCCTGGAAACCGGGTCCTGGTGGGGCTCGCGCAGCTCTGAGCGGGCCGGGCCTGCTGCCTGTGGCGCCCCGGCCGCCCGCATTCCTCCCGAGGCAGCTGTCAGCGAGCCATGAAGGATGCGGTCCAGCCGTGCGAAGGCGCCCTTAGCGCCCCAGGTTCTCGGCCTGACAAAGCCTCCTCCCCAGGCGTCCTCGCTCTGCGGCCGGCTGCAGTGGGTGAGCTCGGAGAAGGGGTGACTGACGGGGCCCGGCTGCAATGGGTGAGCTCGGAGAAGGGGTGACTGACGGGGCCCGGCTGCAATGGGCGTGCTCGGAGAAGGGGTGACTGACGGGGCCCGGCTGCAATGGGCGTGCTCGGAGAAGGGGTGACTGACGGGGCCCGGCTGCAATGGGCGAGCTCGGAGAAGGGGTGACTGGCGGGGTCCGGCTGCAATGGGCGAGCTCGGAGAAGGGGGACTGGCGGGGCCCAGCTGCAATGGGCGAGCTCGGAGAAGGGGGACTGGTGGGGCCCGGCTGCAATGGGCGTGCTCGGAGAAGGGGGACTGGCGGGGCCCAGCTGCAATGGGTGAGCTCGGAGAAGGGGTGACTGGCGGGGCCCGGCTGCAGTGGGCGAGCTCGGAGAAGGGGGACTGACAGGGCCCAGCTGCAATGGGCGAGCTCGGAGAAGGGGTGACTGGCGGGGCCCGGCTGCAGTGGGCATGCTCGGAGAAGGGGTGACTGGCGGGGCCCGGCGGCGAGGGCCACAGGCCGTGGATGATCGGCCACCGGCCCCTGGGCCCCCACGGGTGCTGGTCTTGGCCACCCTCCACCTGCCTCTCAGCACAGCCGTCCACGCTTTCCCTGAGGAGGTGACGTTCTGTCTGCCGAGGCTCGGCTCTGCCACAATGTCTGCCAGAAGCTGCCGGCGCCCAGGGGCTCGGTGCTCGGCGCGAGCGGCTTTTTAGGCACCGGTTAATGTTGGGTCCGGTCCGCCCGATCCGGCCGGTGTGGTACCCAGCAAGGTGGACTTTGCTTCTTGCGCGTCAGGCCCTCCTGTGGCGGACGTGACATGAGACCGAGGACTCGCGTGCAGCGACGTCAGCCACGTGGAGCGTGAGCAGCGGGTGGGCGAGCCGGACTGTTCCCCGCGGGGCTGCTCCCTTGCCATGGAGTAGTGCCTGAAGGTTCGCCATGGAGTAGTGCCTGAAGGTTCGCCATGGAGTAGTGCCTGAAGGTTCGCCATGGAGTAGTGCCTGAAGGTTCGCCATGGAGTAGTGCCTGGAGGTTCGCCATGGAGTAGTGCCTGAAGGTTCACCATGGAGTAGTGCCTGAAGGTTCACCATGGAGTAGTGCCTGAAGGTTCGCCATGGAGTAGTGCCTGGAGGTTCGCCATGGAGTAGTGCCTGGAGGTTCGCCATGGAGTAGTGCCTGAAGGTTCGCCATGGAGTAGTGCCTGGAGGTTCGCCATGGAGTAGTGCCTGAAGGTTCGCCATGGAGTAGTGCCTGAAGGTTCGCCATGGAGTAGTGCCTGGAGGTTCGCCATGGAGTAGTGCCTGAAGGTTCACCATGGAGTAGTGCCTGAAGGTTCACCATGGAGTAGTGCCTGAAGGTTCGCCATGGAGTAGTGCCTGGAGGTTCGCCATGGAGTAGTGCCTGGAGGTTCGCCATGGAGTAGTGCCTGAAGGTTCGCCATGGAGTAGTGCCTGGAGGTTCGCCATGGAGTAGTGCCTGAAGGTTCGCCATGGAGTAGTGCCTGGAGGTTCGCCATGGAGTAGTGCCTGGAGGTTCGCCATGGAGTAGTGCCTGGAGGTTCGCCATGGAGTAGTGCCTGGAGGTTCGCCATGGAGTAGTGCCTGAAGGTTCGCCATGGAGTAGTGCCTGAAGGTTCGCCATGGAGTAGTGCCTGGAGGTTCGCCATGGAGTAGTGCCTGGAGGTTCGCCATGGAGTAGTGCCTGAAGGTTCGCCATGGAGTAGTGCCTGGAGGTTCGCCATGGAGTAGTGCCTGGAGGTTCGCCATGGAGTAGTGCCTGGAGGTTCGCCATGGAGTAGTGCCTGGAGGTTCGCCATGGAGTAGTGCCTGGAGGTTCGCCATGGAGTAGTGCCTGGAGGTTCGCCATGGAGTAGTGCCTGGAGGTTCGCCATGGAGTAGTGCCTGGAGGTTCGCCATGGAGTAGTGCCTGGAGGTTCGCCATGGAGTAGTGCCTGGAGGTTCGCCATGGAGTAGTGCCTGGAGGTTCGCCATGGAGTAGTGCCTGGAGGTTCGCCATGGAGTAGTGCCTGGAGGTTCGCCATGGAGTAGTGCCTGGAGGTTCGCCATGGAGTAGTGCCTGGAGGTTCGCCATGGAGTAGTGCCTGAAGGTTCGCCATGGAGTAGTGCCTGGAGGTTCGCCATGGAGTAGTGCCTGGAGGTTCGTTAGGCTCCGTGGACCAACAGCCGCAGGCACGACCCCTCCCAGCAAGAAGGGCCCCGGCATGGGGCTGAGCGGGGCGGCACACAGCCTCCTACGGTGGTGCCTCTCGGCCGCTGCCCGCCTGCGAGTTGAGATTCATCAAACTCAGCGGCAGGGAGGCGCCCCCTGCAAAGGACGGCAAAGCGAGAGCGGCCCCACAGGGAAGCTGAGCCGAAGTGGCGGGTTTGCTAGCTGCTCTTCCTCGATGGAGCGGCAGTTGGGGCTTAGCCTCCGCATGGTTCACAGGAAGGCGCTGCTTTTGTTAAAACAAGTGTGGGCGCCAAAGAGGACGCCAGCGTTAGAGGCGCCCGAGGCGTCGCCCCGGGCCTCCGAGATCCCCGCCCGTCTTGCCGCTCGCACGGGGTGCGCCTGTTACCGCCGCCGGACACAGACGAACGTAGATTCATGTAGATCTTTCTCCGCGAGCTACGACCTCAGAGCAGCTGCTCCTGGGAGCAGCCCCGTCTCTATTGCCTGTCCCTCCCCGTGAGGGTCAGCTAGTGGAGCGAGGCTGCAGGGGGCTAACGCCGGCCACTCTCGTCCCTGTGGCCCGGCTTGGGAGGGGACGGCCGCGGGCTGCGGGGAGTCACAGTGGTCCGGGGCGGGCAGGCCCACAGGGCACCAGGACTCACCAGCTAACTGCTCATCTGTTCCATCTGTTCCCTCTATTCTTGATGCCTCTTGGCATCTGCTAGTGCTGGGTGGAGAGGAGGCAGCTCTGCCTCTGGAGAGGGTGACAGTCCCCAGAGAGTGACAGGAGAGGGCAGAGCCGGGGGCTGCCCCTGCCTGGGCAAATCAGGGCAGGCTGCAGGGAGGCGGTGGCACCTGGCTGAGCTGGTACTGGCCAGGGAAGAATCAGAGGGTGTTCCAGGTCCTTGTCCCCTGTGCCTGTGCACAGAGCCCTTCTCAGGCTCCTCGCTGTGAGATCCGCGAGTGGCCTCCGGGGACAGTTGCTTGGCTGGCATCACCATTAATATGAGAAAAAACTGAAGGGCCGGACCGAGGTCCCACAGCCAGCAAGTCAGAGCCGCGTTGGCAAGCAGGAGTGCGAGATCCAACTCCAATCTCAGCGGCTCCCAGGCTGCCGCGGGCCCCTGGGTCCCTGCGAAACCAGGGCTCCTGTCCTCAGCCCCGGCCAGGCCCCGCTGGCTGGCACGGTGGCCGCCAGTGCTGTGTTCAGTAATGTCTGAATGGATGGAGGGTCACATGGATGTCGGCTCCCCTCAGAGGTGGTCATCCATG